TACTGCCTATTTTATTATTAGGTATTAAATAATTATATAATTTGTTATCTGTTATCCTTAATGTTAAAAAATGTATTTATCTTCTGTATACTTGTAGTTAATAAAAAGTTAAAAGTTAATTACATTAGGCAGAGTATACCTATCTTAAATTATTTATAAATTATACTTGCAAGTCATCTGTAGATGAAACTATATGAATTTTTTTTTTATTATAAAGTGTTACTGACATAAAATAATAGAAAATATAACATGAAACTATATGAAAGTATATTATATTGTATAATAGTTTAAACATACGACGATATTATTAAATGGGTTGTGTCATATATAWTTATATTTAATTATATTTTACGTCATAAATATAAGTGAATTAATACTGATTGTCGATTGATGRGATAACTTATTGTATCATTAATAATTATTGGTTATTTTTAAACTGATTGCGAGTGTAATTTCATTTTTAACTATTTAATGTTCGATTATCAACAATTTTATACCAACAAGAATTGTAGTTGATACTCTTTCAAATATTTAACTGAAATTTCAACTAAATGACGACTAAAGCCTTATCTGTGTAATATACTATTAATAAAATTACAAGCACACGAAAAAAAATTCTGCAAGAACCCCAACTGCCTCGTTTATAATCTGTCTCCCTTGGACATTAGCCAGGCTTTCACTGATTTATTATACATTTATAACGTGGTTTTTAAATTATAATGAAATCTTAGGTTAAAAAAAAAAAACAATCAAAGAGAAAAATAATGTTCGGTGCATATTATTACGTGATTTTTATATTTTATTGTGTTTATTTGATAAAGACAATAATAATAATAATTATTATTTAACAAAATTATTATTACGGATTAATTACTCGGGTGTCAAATAAATTATACTAATACCGCGTCTGTYAGCACAAGGTTTTCAAGACCTCTGTACTCAAGGTATTGATGTTAAACTAAATTACACACGTTTACTAAGCTTACTGCCAGTGACGAACGTCAAGGGAAAACRAGGGAATATGGATGATTTGGACCACTGATAACACATAATATTATGGTCATTCAGTACATAAACCTAGACCGAGGTCAAGGGATTTTTACTTAATAAGAATCAGTGATGATGTCTATTGCCATAAAAAGTATTCACACACAATTATAATATAAGATAATAATTTTACACGGAGGTCTAAACGAGTTCATAAATCGCGTGTATCAATTTTAATTATACTTATACAGGTTGGGTAAAATTTTTTTTACTGTATAGGGAAATATATGTTTAAAATTTAGGTACCTATGTCCTATATACATACAATCATAGAAATGAAATAAATCCATATACTCCGTATTTTATATTATTTTTTATATTTCGTAGTGTATAATAATAGCATAGATATATCCGTGTTATTTAATTAATTATATTATTACAATGAAGCCCTTTGTAAAATGAACATAATATATAATATAATATAAATAAACAAATGACTATTCGAAGTTTATTTACTTAAATTATTTAATGATTGAGAAATAATATTTTGGATAATAAACACGCTCTTTTAAATCGTGCATAAAATTTTTAAGAATATCTTATATAATTCATAAACGATTTGATGAAAGTCGTCCATCGTTATTTGTTATAAATATACCATTGTATGTAATGTTATACAACTAACTATATAATATCGTAAATAAATTTTCATTTGAAAATGTTTTACTTATTCATTATTTTGACAACATAAATTATCAACCAAAAATTGTATAACCTTCTACAACAACTATATGAAAGAGTAAAATATAATAAAATAAATTATATAAACCAAAACATTATTTAAATTATACACGCTAAAAACGTWTACGTAGCATATATATTTCATTATAATATATTATATTATAAGATTAATAAATGTATACGTATTATAAGCARTTTTTTCTTCAAAATTTCGAAATCAGAATCTGGAATTTCGTACATTATTCTGTATTTTCAAACATGTTTTGAGGTTTCATTTTTAGTTCCTATAGCTCCTAGTATATTAGTTGGCGTAATAAAGTAAACATAACTTATATTGGCTKTTCGTACATATAGAAGATGTTGTATTGCAGCGTCCAACATAAGGCATGAGATACATCTTTTAAACAAGAAATATGTAATATAAATAATAATATGGTATTAAGTTAAATAACATTTGAATAATCTAATTGGACTCAAATATTACAGCGAATGACAAGATATTTTTTAATGAAATAAAACTATATCATTATACCCCTAAAGAGATGACATACTTATCGTTCCGTAATTGCATTATATGTAGACATGTACCCGTAGGCTATATATTTTATAATTCTTAAAAAAAAGAAGTTATTCCATGTCAATCATATAATGTTTATGAAACCTAACAATGCAATTGCTTGTATAATAAAATGTACATATAAATTAAAAATTAGGCCAGTCTATCGCATGTAATATTTATGTATAGTGTTTTTATTTTTTGATATTTAAAATTGGTTTCGTGGGCATATTGTAATACAATATTATAACATATAAGTTAAAAATCATAATCATAAATATTTTCTATAATTAATTATGTGTCCTTAATTTAGTCATAATTAATAACTGTACAAAATTATTAAATAAGTATTATAATGCATTATGACATGATTAAGAAGTAATTAGACCATTCGATAAAAATACTATAATTTTTATASTTTGTACAACGTACCTATTAAAATGCATAATATATTTGACCACCCCATTAAATTTGCGAAAAATGCAACAGGGAGATTTATATTATAGAACACACGTTGCTAACACACTAGTACTTGATGAAGCAAGCAAGAAGACCCATCCATATGCGCCAGTTGCGGTACACTTATATCAATCAAACACATTGTATCCGGATTCTGTTTCTATGAAACGGACAAACAAGAAGCTGGGGTATTATTTCAGAAGCTCTCTATCCAGATACAATAAGTCACACGATGACTTTTTTAATTAAAACCAATGTTATAAATAGTTTATAATCTGTTCTTATGTATATAATATGTAAATACTGTATCCTTAAAATTGTTTAACCTTAATTATTATAAGTGTTATTTTACAGTTTTAGAACACAATTTTACATATGAGAATATGGGATAGATAATATGAGAATATGATCATGACTTTCTATACAATTATTCAAACATGAAAATAAAGAAATGTGTAGGTTCACTATCTCGGGCTTATAATCTACTTTTTAATATGATGTACAGTCCTATAGGTGCTTATAATACATTTATATGGTAAAACAAACTACTTATAATATACTAATAAAAAATATTGTATAATAGCGATTAGGATACAGACAATATGTCAAATTATAATTTACGAAACGRATGAGTACTTTTTCTATTAGTAGGTATTAATCAAAAGTCAAATCACAATAATAAAATAAAGTTATTGGTTATACGAAAATCTAAACCAAACAAAAGCACAATATTCAATAGACTACGTGTCTTGGGGTTGATGTGTACTAAATAAAATAAGGCTAAAATAGTAAATAGTTGTAAGTCTTGTAATATATAGTGTAGCTCTAATAAGTATAAGTATCTAGCGAGTACTGTATATATAGGTGTTTGCATTTTGCTTATTAAACTATATAAACACAAAATTAAACATCTTCAACATAATTTTGAGATTTGATAACTGGATAGTCGTATATAATTCGAGCTTATGCGTATATGCTTTTTATTAAATTAATTTTGAAATAACTGCAATGTATCACGTTACGAAACATAACCTGATYCTGTAGTAGTAGTGTATATAATACTATATATACTATATTATATGAATACATCATATTACCTAAATGTTTGTTGTTATTACTTATTATTTTCAAACACTCACACGCCGTACTGTAATATTTATAATATGATAAATGATATCTCATCGTTTCTTATTACAATGTATTACTTGGATAATCATACATTTTAGTACAAGAAAATAATACTTGTAGAAATATTTTTCAAAAACCTTCTAACTTGGTTATMGTAAATAATTTTTTCTTATGAATAATGCATAGGTACATTATTGAAAAAATCAAAAATGACTCTTCAATTAACAATCAATAGATTCCAATCTATGATTGTTATATTATATAACCACATGCAACTATTAACGCTTACCTATCCGAAAAAGCGACTTGAGGAAAATATAATAAGAAATAAATTACAGTAGTTAATATTTGTGAGACGTGTGTGATGGTTTTCATCTTCAGTACCTAGTCCATTTGACAGTAACGTAACATAATTATGAATCCAAAATACATGAAAATATTTTAATGTGAAATATGACAATACGCGCCCGCATATAAGATTCTGGTGTATCGAAAAAACTGCACAGGGCACAGAGGTATCTGAACTTAGGTTATTCTTTTTCAATGTTTGAAGAAATTATTTATACAATACAATAGTATTATCCATATGCATTTTGTTACCAAAAACCATTGAAAGTAAGATTAATATAGATTGCGATAAAGGTAATAAGTCGACAAATGGTCTAATTAACAAGCATAAGGATGAAATTAATTATAATACTTGTCCTTTTTTTTGTTTAAAATATTTTCAATCTTTGTTGGGATAACACAATAAGGCCAACCGGTGATGGAACCCAACGTGATATAACTTGACGCATAGGTATAGGTATATGTTATAAAATATTTAGTGCCGCGTGAAAAGAGGGATACAATAGTGGTTTGAGATATTACGACGTTGTTATGTATTAATAATTGGACTGTATACATAATAATACAGGTATATACTGATCTCAACCTCAAACCCCTATGTATATAGATACTATTATAATATTGTAGAACTCTTTGCACGGACTCCGCTGCAGTTATTTTCGTTACAAAAATAATAATAATAACATAATTTGACCCAACCAAACATAATATTATATATAAAATACACAAAGAACCAAAAAACACGATATTAATTCCGAAATGGTTCGGCGGCCACACTTACCGCAAGTATCAAGTCTCAAGCCCTGTGTATACAATGTGTGTGGGCGGTCTTGGGTGTGTGTGTGCGCGCGCGCTCGGGAAAAACGACGGCGACGATATTGTGCTTTTTTTTTAAGTAGCGTGGATCGTATTGGCGACCGGCGAGGAGCTATTGTCCAGACGTGATATTGTAACGGACTGCGGCGAATCGGACTGAGCGGTTTACCGCGTGACACGCGCCTGGCACGGCGCACTCACGCCATGCGGTTAAGAGGCGGCGGCCGCTGTGTGCAATTGCAATATTCGTCCGGCGGCGGTGGACGCCGTCTGTCCGTCCGTCTMTGTCCGTCTGCATAATAACGTTGTTACGCAGCCGTGTGCAGACGCTAGCAKAACCTTCCTTTTATGCTATTATATACAATACTATAATAGGTGTATACCTACATTTGATCAGTTTTATCGTGCTAGGGAAATGGCCTTTACCATATATGATAATATGTATAAATGGACCGATAGTCGAAAATCCGTTAACTTTAACCAGTAGGTATAATAGTAAGAATAATAATATATGGGGATTGAAAATTATAATCATTCCGGTCGCAAGCACCGTCGAAAATCTTGCAAATTTTTAAACGGCTTGTGTCGAATTTTTCAACGGCCACCGTGGTGACCAGAACCGCGCTATATATACCAACTTCTCGATTAATGACCCGCCGACAAAATGTGTATATACTATACCTGTTACCTACATATAAAATTATGTCGCATACGACCACTCCTAATTTCAAGTACTATTCAAATACTTTTAAAGTTCTCAAATACGTATCTTAAATATCTTTGAAACAAGTACCTGCACAAAGTATTTCAAATACTTTCTCAAAATATCTGTACTTAAAATCAAATAACTACTATAGGTACTATTCAAATACTTTTTCTTTTTAGTGTGTGCATATTTTCTAAATTTGAATTTAACTACGTAAATTAAAAAAAAAAAAAAAAATGAAAATAGTCGTAGTAGTTTGTAGCCCGTAGATATATAATAATATATTTTTTATTTGACTTATATACCCAATTAACAATTCAAATACTTAGACCGAGAAAATATAATATGAGTAATAATTATTAATACCTAGTTACTAACTCCAAATAATATGGAGTAAAATGCCTTATGAAGATGATTTAAGACTTATGAAAATTCAAAAAAATTCTGTTCAGTTGGTTTATTAAATGATTTAGATGAATATTTGAAGGTATTTATAATTTTTTTTAAAAATACTTTTGTTTTTTACACTTGTTTTTAGAATATTTGAATACTTTTTGATTTTATTATATTTTACAAAAGAATAAAAAAATATAAAAACTCAAAATAGGTAGTGTCACTGCTTCTTCCCTCAAAATAGTCATGTAAATTAATCTGTGAAAATTTGTTTATTGTTATTGATAAGAATAGGTTGTACATTTCATATATGTATATAAAAAAAAATTATGTTTTACAAGATTGCCCTATGAGCTCCACGGCCGGAGTAGTCTGGCCTACGCCTAAAATATTACCTATTTATTACGTTGCGCACAGTTTGGTGTATGGAGAGGACGTGATTCCGATGATGCCTGTGCAATAAGACTAACCAAAGACCCAGGGTTACGATAGGTCTAATGTTGACAAGAACTGGACAAGAATAACTTATCGAACGGTGTTGGCAATAGAGTGTATATTGTGTAATATACGTAAAGTATTAATATTATATTATATTTACGTACAAATTTATAATGAAGTAATGTATATTGTAGAAATATTATCCTTTACGATCCTTTTCAATAGAAACCCTACCTACTAAAACGTTTTTTTCTCTTAAAAAGGAATTTGTTCCAAAAGTCTATTCTAAATTAATTCGTTCTTACCATCTAGAGCCGCTTYGGAATGAAAAAAATCAAGTAAAAAATATCATCATCGGGTTACTTTCACTGCATTCATTTAAAAGTACAAAAAAATCCAATTAATGTCGTGACTAGTGAGAAGAAGAATTCTTTGCTTCTAATAATATGTTAAACATGTTAATTTTGAGAAAAATATGGKTTTTTCATACATATTGTGTTATGGCTATTGATATATTTCTATGATTTTAAAATTATTACAATAAGCGTTCATAAACTTATTTTGCAAAGGAATTTATTCTTTTTTTAAGAACAAGTTTCTTAATGTCACTAGTGTTATATACGTCTAAGCCCACACGTTGAAAAAAAGTGATTTAACCACATCATAAAAGCGCATCCCACCATAGTGAATCCCCCGAATATGTAATACTATGGCTTATTACGTCATAATACATAAAACAGTGTTATCATATTTATTTTAATACGAATTATTGTCCGCTGTGTGTCTCACAATAATTTTTAGGGAGAAGAAACAATAAAATAAAATATACATGAATTTATTGATAATATTACWTGAGGAGTACAGGAGATAACTAATTACTGAAAGTTAATTTTTAACGTTAACAGTCCCCAAAAATATGGGAAAAAAATTTTAATTGGGTTAAATTAATATTTGCTCACTATATTTTTGTGTTTAAAATTATTCTATTATTAACTTAAATTTAAAAGCATACGGCATTAATTCGCGTGCTTATAGAGATAAGTTCAACGATTTTATTATTTATTTGAAAAAAAAATGAATAAGTATTTCTTAAAATAAATAATTGTGTCATTGGATCAATAATGTATCGTGATTTTACAAAATAAAAATTTATATAAAAGCACTTAATTGACTATTTTTATTTAAAAAAATATTTGAACTTGCAGAATTGTTATTTATAATATGAAATCTCCGTATAATTTTGTTTTTCCCATAAATGACTCTTCCATTTTATATTAACAGCATGTCATATTCCGATATTCGCATATTATGTTGTCTTCGTCAACATATGTATGGCATACCAAATTTTCGTTCGCCAGTTTAGTGTGATGTCATAGTTTTGATATTAGAGTGAATTGGCCAATAATCAAATTTTTAGGTAAGAACATTATCTGTGTTCTCATATCGATCGGTTTTCATGATGTTTCAAATTYTAAGGAAAGTATAAGCAATTTCAAATATTAATATTTTACATTMAGACGAAGACAACACATGTGGATACGGTGTCCTCTATTCGTCCGATCTCCGTAATAATACATAATATGAACTAGAGTTGTACTTACTAAAAAGCTCAGACATAATTTATACATATTAATATATTATTATCCAAATGAACATTTAAAAACATATTATTTTGATTATMCATGGCATATATTTGCCCCTCGGGCATTAAAAAAATTGCTTGAATTTAGTAAATGGCTTCAAAATACATAAATATATAATTTAAAATCATAAAATCATTATATAAATAATAATGACCTATTGCGATAGGTCATATACGTTATTGTAGTGGAGTAGGAAAAAAACACGACTGTAATCGTATAGGTACGTGCCCGACAAATTATTATCGTCGTCGTCGTTGTCGCGTTCTCGGCGATTGGACAATACGCCACGCGCATTTTAAATATGACGACAGCCGCCGAAGCCCGAAGGAAACAGTCGCGGTCCRATTTGGTATTCGACTCTGTAAACTCGCACGCGTTCCGTTATTGCTTATTGTATTATCATTATTATTATTACAACGACCATTACAACTATTACTGCTAACAACTGTTATTAATACACGGACGGAGAACGTGTGCAGTATATTTTATAATACATAATAACATCATATACGAATACGAGTGTATTATATATTATTGCATATAGGTAAGGTAGGTATACACATATGACTTACTGGTTGACGTAGGTACAACTAGACAGTGTCGACGACGTTTACGTAACGATATAGGTACATTATATTATAGGGGTGTGTATCTATGTGTGTGTGTGTGTGTGTGTGTGTGTGTATGTATACTATAGTAATAATAATAACATCAATATTATGTTATATTATTAATAATGTTGTTGTACTACTATAGGGCGTACAGCGTGCATTTGCGTTTTGAAACGGTTTATGTTTTTATATTCTATTATTACTTAATAATATAACTATTTTACGCATAGAGGTATGCCACCAACCGGTAAACGCAGTGGCGCCGAAGTCCTAAAAATCTAGTAGGGCGAAAAATATTTCAAGAGGCCCAACATCTTAATATCGGAAAAAATGGCATACCGTGGAGAGGAAAATGGTCAATATGAAGTGGCCCTATCTTAAATTTTCAAAATATGTCGGGCCATGGCCCGACCTTAATATAGGGTTCGGCGCCACTGGGTAAACGTACAATACGTTAAATGGTAATGTATAATAATAATATAATTAGGCATTATTGGAGTTACATAGTATATTATTACTAGGGATGAGAACTTATAGCCTTATAGGAGCTAAAATAGACAAAATATGCAAGGGAAAATTATGATATATGCATCAAAATTTGAAAATATGCAAAAAATATATTATAATATGAAATTTTTTCTATAAATAAAAAAACATGTTTACAATAAACGAATATAAATAATATTTCGTTAAATTTGATTCTATAAAAAGATAAATAATTTTTAAGTGTGTGATAAAAAATTAATACCAGATATATAAATATGAGATAATAAATAATGATTAGTAGGTGTATTGATTATATATTGATAGTCAGGTGATTTAATCCCTAAATAACCTGTAAATTTGTTGCATTGAACCACCAAAGTTTTTTTTTAATATTTTGACCTCTAATCTCCGTCCTCCGACGATTATCTGAAAGAATATTTTTGTATCGCGAAAAACTTCTTTCCACATCAACTGAAGTTATGGGGGCATACTTGAAGTAAATAAGGTCATTTCCGGTTTAGTCTTCTGGCAATTCGTCCATAGATGTGATTTATCCAATATGAATGATACTAACCCTAAATTTACTTTTATAAACTATTAAATTTTATTGACTTTAATGACTACAAACTTATAAAATTCAATTAAATAATAAATAATTTTACTAAATATGCATTTTTATTCACAAAAAATATGAATATGCCACTTTTAAGAAAACTACCAATATATGCAAAAATATTCAAAATTTCAATATCAAATTTCAATTCATTAGGTTATAGAACAGATTTTTAGCTCACCTAGCTATAAATAGGAATTAGGAGATAAAGAAAAAAATATGCAAATCCTATAACTTCTCATCCCTAATTATTACTTACTAT